AAGTGCCGTAATCTTGTTTATAATCAAACCCTCAACATTATGTAGGAACATTACAATGTACATAAGAACATGTCATCACAAACCCTCAACATTATGTAGGAACATTACAATGTACATAAGAACATGTCATCACAAACCCTCAACATTATGTAGGAACATTACAATGTACATAAGAACATGTCATCAGAAACCCTCAACATTATGTAAGAACATTACAATGTACATAAGAACATGTCATCACAAACCCTCAACATTATGTAGGAACATTACAATGTACATAAGAACATGTCATCAGAAACCCTCAACATTATGTAGGAACATTACAATGTACACAAGAACATGTCATCACAAGTTCTCAACATGAAGTACATACAAACAATACACAATATCACATATTTCCACTTAATTGAAAGAGAATTTACATTGGATAATTATCTTACATTTGTAAAAGCTTCTCATAATTATCATTGTATTAATTCAGCCTTTAAATCAGAAAAGTCGAATTGTTCATTTTTCTGATAGTTCTTTAGTGAAGACAACAACTGTTTACATCTTATATATTTAGTCTTTGTTTTTATATCAAGAGTACCAGATTACTATTAACTTAAGATTTTGACAGGTAATATTACATAGCCAAAATAGCAATAAGGATGTGGTAATGCGTATTTTGGATTGACATAATGTATCTTATCACATTTTGAAGTACACTAATAGCAATGTACGTTTAAAATGAATTATAATATAAAATTTTCAATAATTGTTTTTCTAACCCAATCTTGTCAGTACCAAATTCTTAAAAGGTTAGAAGTACATAGAGGAATACATTTACAGTGAGTTACAAATAACTATCATAACACAATTTTCAAAGATCTGGGCAATTAAGTACAAATATTCTCCCTCTAAAACTTATTGACTAGTTAAGTTAGACTGTTGGCAGTTAAAAACACTATAGTTATGAATACAACTGCAAAAACAAACATAACCCCAATGATGTCAAAGTAGAATGAGTAATGGGAGATGAGAATTTTTATTCTGTTGGTAATTTCACCAATTTTTGAAAACAAATTCATTTTACATTTCATTAAAAACAAAAATCAGTGATAAAGCCATCCCCAAATATGAGTAACTTAAAAATACATGTCAAGTACTTTGTATCATACATGTTCAAAACAATGAGTGCAATAGCTGCCTCATATAATACATTTGTAGTAAGTTGAGATGGCTAATAGCTGTAATTTTCACATTATATATTCATATTTTTTTCAAGAAAAGCTACCCATATTAATATACATTATTAACCATAAATACTAAAATACACTGTTGAATCAGAAAGGTGAACTCTTACTGACAATATGCATGTCCAATTTCAATTAGACTCCACACTTAGCACACTGTCTAACATTCAAATTCTTAAATAGTTTAAATCCTCTTTGGTATCCGAGTCACCTAATTATTTAGGTCGCAAGGTTATCAACTTTATGACATATAACTTTTTCATTATAAATTACCCTTGTTCATACTGGTTTATGGTAACTTACTTGGTTATTATGAGAATTCTTTTATATTTTGTTTTCAAATTGATATCATTTGTCACATTAAATATGATCATTTTGTAAGTTTTCTAACCTTAGTAATCCATTTTTTTTTTTTTTATGGAAGCACATGACAAAACTAAGTTTTGAAAAAATTGTCTAATATCCAAATCATAAAATGCAATATTCACAATTCATACAAAATGTTTTTTTACAACATTCTTTTGACCTTTGAACTTCCTACTGATCCTTGAATACTCCTAATTCTATTCAAATAACTATTAGCAATCTCAGCCGTACTTTCAGAAACTGACATTGATATCAAAAATACTTTTGTGGAAGTATTATTTTCCTTTTTCAGGATTGTTTTATTGCAAGCTGCTGAAAAAAAAACCCTACAAAATATATTATTTGCACAATATGGCTATATTATGTAGAAAAAAAGTAAACTGAGCTATAAGGAATTGTGGACAAAAGTAGTGTAATATCTAGAATTTCCATAAACTTCTAATGTAGACAAACACCTTGCACACTGTCCTACTGTTCCACCACCAACTCTCATGAAAAAGTAAATGTGTATCATTATTAGCCCACTAGATAAAAATTAAAATGTGATCACATATGAATAACTATATTTAATTTCAAACTAGCATCAATTCATAATTTCTTATGGGTTCAATTTCCACAGCTTAATGTTGGTCCTCCTTTAACATCATGAACTATTACTAAATTAATGTACACAATTAAAGTGCACAATTCTGTACACTGGTGGGTAATAATATTATTGTGTGAATTTCTAAGTTTTTAAAAATTGTCTAATATCCGAATCATAAAAAGCAATATTCACAATTGATACAAAATGTTTTTTATGACATTCTTTTGACCTTTGAACTTCCTACTGATCCTTGAATACTCTTAATTCTATTCAAATAGCTATTAAGTCATGACTTTCTCCAATCTAAAACTTTATCAATGAATGAGAGATTTGCAATAATTTTCACTTTTGTTTTTGCAACTAACATTACAACTATCCTGTAGTATTCACATTACTTGTGTAGTGTAAACCTTTACATTTATGTAACTTATTTAATACAGAGAACTTGTAACTGTAAAATTTGTGTTAAAACATACCTATACTTATAATTATCCAAAGATCAAAATGACTGGAAGTGTTATTGCATGGAATGTGTTTAAGTAACAAACAATGATAAAATATAAAAAATTATTTGGTTTAATTATTTCCTAAAGGTGTTAAAAATCAAAAAAATTAAAACTTAATAAAATAGTATATTCATCACTAGTGTTTTGGGAATTTTAACTTTTTCAATGGCTTACAGATTTCGTATGGTGCCCAACAGTAATGACTGCAGGATCATCAAGGTCATCTTCTAATCCTAACTGGGAAATACTCTGTTCCACAATTTCCTGGAAATATATAAAACACGAACTATGCTTACAGTGATCACTGAATTCATCCTTGGAATATGAGAATGGCAACAAGACACATAAAATGGGCTTAAAACATATCAAAATTATCTTAATAGCAAACCTTCCATTCTATTCTTAGAACCAAATATTAGTTTTAACAGGTGTACATTTACTTTGTGTGTCTTACTGTGGTTCACAAGTTCCTGAAAAGTAAAATGTCAATAATTAAAGTATGACCTTACATTGCTACATTATAATGGTTGGAGACGGCTTGAATGGGTAATGAAGAAAAACTAACATAAGTTTAACATAGCAGCAAATGTACATTTCGACAAGGTTCTGTCATCATCAGGTAATGTAACTTGTTGAAACGTTGTACATTTGCTGTTATGTTAAACTTATATTAAAGTTTTCTTCATTACCCATTCAAGCCGTCTCCAACCATTATTAGTCCCAAAGTGGGTTCCTCATCATCGAAATTGCTACTTTATATCCTTAAATCAATCACAAGCTTAGAAACTAGCAGAAAAACAGTACCAAGCTTCATTATTTCTAGAATCACTTCATAAAAATGATAAGCTTGTCATAATATCCACTTGTGTTATCCTTCCTAGATCATTTATTCATGTGATATGTAATTCTACACATTTATCAAGCAGAAACAATAGATACTTACATGTTTGTGTTAAAAAAAAAAAAGGTTCTTTACTTTAATTTTCAAGACTGTATATGAATTATATAAACTGTCTAGTGGATTACTAGTTTGTTTTTCCTGTTGCATTTAAGATTTTGTATTTTTTATTTGTGAAGTGCAAGTTACATTTTTGTGGCTTGATTTTAACAGTAATGTACTCGATTGAGATTGAATTTTAAATATCAATCAAAATTAGCTCTATGCAATATATTTAATTGTGGCATATTCCAGAATTAAACTCAGTAAACTGAAAAGCAATACCATCAAGCCCAGGTTGTAGTTAAGCAAAACATTACAGACCAATCACAGAGGTGGAACTTGTATATTCATTGCAGTAAAGGCAGTCAGCAGCTGATGCACTCAATTATAACTCAAGAAGAGCAAATAGTTTCTACTGTGCCAAAATAGAGCAGAATTGTTCTGTTAATGCAGTGTAATTGGTTAAAAGAATTGATTCATACTTCACAGCACAATATGCAAAAAAAAGGAAAACTTTCCAAAAAAGGAAGTAAATGTAGAGATGGTTAATATCAATTCTTCAAAAACAATGCAAACAAAATAGTAGGGATGGCATTTGTTTC